GCTCAGAGTCGGAACCCTGTCCAGGGTCCTCCCCATCTTCCAGAGCTGACTCATAAGGTCCCTCACTATCGGAGTCTGTTTGCAGCTCCAATGGCTCCTACTGGGCCACAACACAGTGTAAAGGTACAATCAAATTATAGAACATTTATACCTTAAAATGCTTTCGTAAATAAAACAATTTTAACCAGGAACCAACAAAGAGAGACAAACATCCTCTGTATTGCCATTCTAAAATCAGAGGCATTTAATAAATGTAATAAATTTAATAAATGGCATTCTGAGAGCCACCCTCTCTCCAAACACTGTATGCTCACTTTTTGTGATTGGCAGCTCTTTGGGACAAACACAAAGTCATCTTCCCTGTTCAGGCCATATTCTGAGGGGGGGGGGGGACTAGAAATCAGATGGCCTTTATAAAAAAGTTACGGTCTGGATTTCTATTCAGAGAAACTAAGTTGCCACCTAATGACAGGATGTTTAACCTCAGTAGCACAGATGGCAGGAAGTAGGGATTGTCCTGGTGCAAAAAACCTCCAGCTCAATCTGCTCCTTCACATAACATGCATAATCTAATTAGACACTACAAATCCATTTTAAAAACTAATAATTTACCAACATAGCACTGAACAGAGAAGCTGAGGGATAAAAATGGCTCCACCCAACAGTGCTTGTTTGGGTGTTTGCACACACAATTATGAGTTGAGGACAGAATAAATAACCAAATTTGCTTCCAGGAAGATCTACAAATTGGTCATTCAGGTGCGAGTTTTTTCTGAAGGCTTACTCTGATTTATCTCCTGCTTTGTGGTAAGCAGGGTAGTTATCTTTTTCAACTGCAGGAGACAGATTATCATTCAAAAAAGTTGAAAAATTAGTTCAACTTTGATCTGGTACTCAAAACAAAACCCTGAACTCAAGATTTTTGAGTCACTGGATGCTTATACCAAGTATTGATGGATTTTGTACTTATAGTGAATGAATAAAATTATCCACAAATCCTGCCTACCTTGAATTTGTCCAAGACATAAATAATAATGGTGAATTCGAGGTGGACAGGATTTGTGGATAATTTGGTTCAACAGAAAAGAACTAATGGAGCATTTTCTGGAAACTGTTTCAAGGGGTGAATACAACACAGGTTTGTATACAGCCCAATGGACTACAAATGAGACTGAACAGACATGGCCTTCCAGAGGCAGAAGAAACCTCGCCAATGTAGCAGAACCTACATTGAAAAGATATAATTTGCTCTGGATGTCTTCTAGGGTTGAGACCCAGCAGCAACATGGGCTGTTGGTATATTTTAAGCTCTTGTTGCTGGGATTTCCAAAAGAGAATTCCCAATTAGACCAATCAGTCACTACTTAAGAGAAGCAGAAGCATAAGTCCTCCAGTTATTTAATATTTATATGCTGCATGTTCTCACTAGAGAACATGATTCGTGAGGGCACATACTTCAAAGAACCCAAGAAACCATTAAATACAACAAAATGTCTATGTTTTAATCTTTCTCCCTGAGTGCTACATTTGTACTTCTATTATTAAATTATACATCACCAATAATAATTTTTAAAAAATCAGAAAAGTTGTTGCCAAACTTTTCAGATTCATAATGAGGTAGATGTATTCATTCCTGATGTGCTACATCATAATTTTTATCTGATAAATAATGATAAATCCAATCATCACGGAGGCTGTTTATTGGTCTTCAGGGTGTATTGCTGAGAAGATGGATCATTCCTTCCTATACAACCATCACATAATTTGTCATTTGGGGGTCAACTCAAGCTTTCAGGGTTTGTTTGTAGGTCAATTCAAGCCTCTAGAGGTCATTTCAGGTCAACTCAAGCTTCTGGAGTGATCTTGCGTGAGCACCATCTTCCAGGGCTTTTGGGGTCAACTTCTATGTCTCTTTGGTGACCAAGCCTCTAGGGTTCATTCAGGGGTCAACTCAAACTTCCAGGGTTCATTGGGGGGGGGGTCACCTCAAGCCTCTAGAGGTCATTTTGGGTGAACGCAGACTTCTGGAATGATCCTGACCTGAACCCCAGGTTCCAGGGCTTTTGGGGTCAACATTTACAGCTCTTTGGTAGCCAAGTGAAGCCTCCAGGGCTCATTTGGAGGGGGGCTGGGTCAACTCAAGCTTTCAGAGCTCATTATAGCTAAGTGTTCATTTAATTGGTCTAATTTTTTTTTAAAAGCAAAAGTTTGTTTTAAAGAAGTTCAAACATATAAGATAAACCTGGCAGTTTATCCAGTCTCATCAAATAGCAGATAAACAGACCATCTGCACATCAATTTATCTACAATGGCTTAAGCAATAAAGCAAGGTAGGAGCATCAAAAAAACACATCTTTTCTGAGATCCTCAAGTATTTTCTTTCAACACCAACTAATGCCAACACCAATGCCCATTTTCATAAGTATAGGGAGGGAAGCTAATAAAACACAGCCTCATACTTTTTTATTTTTGCAACTCTTCAGCTGGTTACTG